TAACACAACCACTACCATAGAATATCACAACCACCACCATAGCCTAACACAAGTCCACCATAGAATAACACAACCTCCACCATAGACTAACACAACCACCACCACATAGACTAACACAATCACCGCCATAGACTAACACAACCACCACCATAGACTAACACAACCGACACCATAAACAAACACAACCGACACCATAGACTAACACAACCACGACCATAGACTAACACAACCTCCACCATAGGCTAACACAACCACCACCATGGAATACCACAACGACCACCATAGAATACAACAAAACCACCACCATAGACTAACACAACCTCCACCATATACTAACACAACCACCACCATAGACCAACACAACCACCACCATAGACTACAACCTCCACCATAAACTAACACAACCTCCACCATAGACAACACAACCACCACCATAGACTAACACAACCACCACCATAGACTAACACAACCTCCACCATAAACAAACACAACCTCCACCATAGACCAACACAACACCACAGACTAACAGAACCACCACCATAGACTAACACAACCACCACCATAGACTAACACAACCACCACCATAGACTAACACAACCACCACCATAGACTAACACAACGACCACCATAGACTAACACAACCACCACCATAGACTTAACAAACCACCACCATAAACAAACACAACCTCCACCATAGACCAACACAACGACCACCATAGACAACAGAACCACCACCATAGACTAACACAACCACCACCATCGACCAACACAACCACCACCATAGACTAACACAACCACCACCATAGACTAACAACCACCAATAGACTAACACAACCACCACCATAGACTAAGACACCACCATAGACTAACACAACCACCAATATAGACTAACACAACCACCACCATAGACTAAGACAACCACCACCAAGACTAACACAACCTCCACCATAGACTCACACAAACCCACCATAGACTAATACAACCACCAACATAGACTAACACAACCACCACACCATAGACTAACACGACCACCACCATAGACTAACACAACCTCCACCATAGACTAACACAAACTCCACCATAGACTAATACAACCACCACCATAGACTAATACAACCACCACAATAGAATACCAACCACCACCATAAATCAACACAACCACCACATAGACTAACACAACCTCCACCAAAGACTAACACAACCTCCACCATAGACTAATACAACCACCACCATAGACTATCACAACCACCACCATAGACTAACACAACCTCCACCATAGACTAACACAACCACCACCATAGACTAACACAACCTCCACCATAGACTAACACAAACTCCACCATAGACTAATACAACCACCACAATAGAATACCACAACCACCAAATCAACACAACCACCACCATAGACTACACAACCTCCACCAAAGACTAACACAACCACCACCATAGACTAACACAACCTCCACCATAGACTAACACAACCACCACCATAGACTAACACAACTCCAATAGACTAACACAAACTCCACCATAGACTAATACAACCACCACCATTGACTAACACAACCACCACTATAGTCTTAAACAAAACCAACTACATAGACAACAATAAACCATAGACTAACACAACGACCACCATAGACTACACAACCCACCATCTAACACAACGACCACCTAGAATACCACAACCACCACCATAGACTAACACAACCTCCACCATAGACTAACACAACCCAATAAGACAACACAACCCACCATAGACTAACAACCAACCACCATAGACTAACACAAACCACCACTATCGACACAACCACCACCATAGACTAACACAACCACCACTATAGTCTGACACAACCACCACTAGTCTGACACAACCTCCACCATAGACTAACAACCTCCACCATACACCAACACAACGACCACCATAGAATACCACAACCACCACCATAGACTAACACAACCACCACCATAGACTAACACAACCACCACCATAGACATACACAACCACCACCATAGACTAACACAACCAACCATAGACTAACACAAACTTCACAGTAGACAAACACAACCTCCACCATAGACTAACACAACTCCACCATAGCCCACACAACGACCACTAGAATACCACAAACCCACCAGATATTACAACCACCAATAGAATAACACAACACCATAGAAAACACAACCACCACCATAGACTAACACAACCACCACATAAATCAACACAACCACGACCATAAAAACACAACCACCACCATAGACTAACACAGCCACCACCATAGACTAAACAACAACCACCAATAGACTAACACAACCACCACCATAGACTAACACATCCTCCACCATAGACTAACACAACCACCACCATAGACTAACACAACCTCCACCATAGACTAACACAACCTCCACCATAGAATACAACCACCACCATAGAATAACACAACCACCACCATAGACTAACACAAACCACCACCATAGACTAACACAACCACCACCATAGAATACCACATCCACCACCATAGACTAACACAACCACCACCATAGACCAACACAACGACCACCCAGAATACCACAACCACCACCATAGACTAACACAACCACCACCATAGACTAAACCACCACCATAGATAACACAACCACCACCATAGACTAACACAACCTCCACCATAGACTAACACAACCTCCACCATAGACCAACACAACGACCACCATCGAATACCACAACCACCACCATAGACTAACACAACCACCACCATAGAAAAACACAACCACCACCATAGATTAACACAACCACCACCATAGACTAACACAACCACCACCATAGACTAAATTACCACCAATATACTAACACAACCACCACCATAGACTAACACAACCACCACCATAGACCAACACAACCACCACCATAGACTAACACAACCACCACCATAGACTAAGACAACCATCACCATAGACTAACACAACCTCCACCATAGACTGACACAACTCCACCATAGACTAATACAACCACCACCATAGACTAACACAACCACCACCATAGACTAACACAACCACCACCATAGACTAAGACAACCATCACCATAGACTAACACAACCTCCACCATAGACTGACACAAACCCACCATAGACTAATACAACCACCACCATAGACTAACACAACCACCACCATAGACTAACACGACCACCACCATAGACTAACACAACCCTCCACCATAGACTAACACAAACCCACCATAGACTAATACAACCACCACCATAGACTAATACAACCACCACAATAGAATGCCACAACCACCACCATAAATCAACACAACCACCACCATACACTAACACAACCTCCACCAAAGACTAACAACCTCCACCATAGACTAATACAACCACCACCATAGACTAACACAACCCCCACCATAGACTAACACAACCACCACCATAGACTAACACAACCTCCACCATAGACCAACACAAACCCACCATAGACTAATACAACCACCACCAGCTGAACACAACCACCACTATAGTCTAACAACCACCACCATAGACTAACACAAACTCCACCATAGACTAACCCAACGACCACCATAGAATACCACAACCACCACCATAGACTAACACAAACTCCACCATAGACTAACACAACGACCACCATAGAATACCACAACCACCACCATAGACTAACACAACCTCCACCATAGACTAACACAAACTCCACCATAGACTAATACAACCACCACCATAGACTAACACAACCACCACTATAGTCTGACACAACCACCACCTAGACTAACACAACCTCCACCATAGACTAACACAACCTCCACCATACACCAACACAACGACCACCATAGAATACCACAACCACCACCATAGACTAACACAACCACCCACCATAGACTAACACAACCACCACCATTGACACATACACAACCACCACCATAGACTAACACAACCACCACCATAGACTAACACAAACTTCACAGTAGACAAACACAACCTCCACCATAGACTAACACAACCACCACCATAGAATAACACAACCACCACCATAGACTAACACAATCACCACCATAGACTAACAAAACCACCACCATAGAATACCACAAACTCCACCATAGACTAACACAACCACCACCATAGACTAACACAACCACCACCATAGACTAACACATCCTCCACCATAGACTAACACAACCACCACCATAGACTAACACAACCTCCACCATAGACTATCCAACCTCCACCATAGAATACCACAACCACCACCATAGAATAACACAACCACCACCATAGACTAACAACACAACCACCACCATAGACTAACACAACCACCACCATAGAATACCAACCACCACCATAGACTAACACAACCACCACCATAGACCAACACAACAACCACCATAGAATACAACCACCACCATAGAATAAACACAACCACCACCATAGACTAACACAACCACCAATGACTAACACAACCACCACCATAGACTAACACAACCTCCACCATAGACTAACACAACCTCCACCATAGACCAACACACGACCATCATCGAATACCACAACCACCACCATAGACTAACACAACCACCACCATAGAATAACACAACCACCACCATAGACTAACACAACCTCCACCATAGACTAACACAACCTCCACCATAGACCAACACAACGACCACCATCGAATACCACAACCACCACCATAGACTAACACAACCACCACCATAGAATAACAACCACCCACCATAGACTAACATCACCATAGACTAACACAACCACCACCATAGACTAACACAACCTCCACCATAGACTAACACAACCCACCATAGACTAACACAACCTCCACCATAGACTATCACAACCTCCACCATAGACTAGCACAACCACCACCATAGACTAACACAACCACCACCATAGACCAACACACCCTCCACCATAGACTATCACAACTTCCATAATGACATATCTCAACTACCATCAATCAGACTTAAGTAATATAAACTCACGTTATAGGCGTGTTTGTTGAGCTTGGCCTCTATACGTCCCGTGCTTGTGGTGAGTCTCTGTACGTTATTGCCAACACCTTCCAGGTCTGTGTCGTGGCGGCCCAGCTTGTAAAACACGTTGTTTAACTTCAGCTCGTCCTCCTGTGGCACATATAAGCGATTTGGGTTCACCTGAAGAATTGCCTTAACCCCAGTATATACCACATGAAGATAACCCACATTGACGCTACCTGAGAGGGTTTCCAAGCAAAATAAAATGGGTCGAATCTTCAGGACATCCCACCACCTGTCACTAACTTACAATATTATAAGGGTTGCAGTGAATTTGTGTTTGGAATCTGTGTGAAATATTGAAATCGGATGTGAAATTTAGCACTATCAATTGTTTTGAATGTGGGCATAACTTCAATGCGTAAAATTAATTGGAGAAAATACAGTCGCACAAAATAGGCATATGTAAAAGAAGACTGCAGTTTTATGCACACATCAACGCTAACACTCAAATTCACTTTTAATATTGGTACCCCTCTTGTTTAAGTGAAGGCATCAATAAATGTTTTTTTTTCCTGATATAAAGCTACTGTGAGTATCTGTGAGTAATTTGTCACCATTATTAACACTTGTGAGTCACTTTCCATCATTATGAGCATCTCTGTGTCACTTAGTGTCATTTTGAGCATTTATGAGTCATTTTCTGTCATTATGAGCACCTGTGAGCCACTTAACGTCATTATGAGCACCTCTGAATCATCTAACTTCAATTTGAGCACCTGTGAGTAATTTGGCGTCATTGTGAGCACTTATGAATCACTTGCCATAATTATGAGCACCTCTGAATCACTTACCGTTATTTTGAGCACCTGTGAGTCACTTGGTATCATTACGAGCACCTGTGTTTGATGGTGCCATTCCGTGTTGATGTTTCAAGATAATCGTTCCGGATAAAAAATGCATTTGCAGTGTACATGAAACGTCTGTTTATGAGTACTATACAATTTAAGGTTTATTTACCCTGTAGTGGAGAAGGAGTTCAAGTGTTCAGGTAATAGACTTCATCAGTGACCCTGTTTATATACAAGTGCTGGTGTCAAGACCTGAAAATCTGGCTCCATCAGTGCCAGATGGCGCACCTCTTGCCCGCCCTCCTATAGAGTAGAGTTAGAGATAAATATTTTGAGAGAAGATGGGCCTTCTGAGAATTTGAAATCCCTAAACCATCAAGTGAGTTGAGAGGAGGAAACGGTAAAAAGACTACTAAAGTTACTGTTGACTGCTGAGTGTTGTAAAGTTGATTGATTCACAATAGTGGGTTACTATATGGATTGTTTAGCAGTCTAAAGGATTTTTTAAAGTTAGGTTTGTATAACCTACTAATGACTTCAGTTAATTTCTTGTATTTATGAAATTACTGAGTACTTACTGTAGTTTTCAAATATATTTTCTTTATTTGCAATACAGGTAGTTGTGGCATAAATCTTGAACCTTTCTGGTAGTTGCGTCGTTTTTTTTTTTTTTTTAATTTTACGAGGTATGTCAGCGAACATCATTCTTCACTGTCCATGATAAACTTTCCATTCTATACTCATAATGCAACTGACAAACCTCTCATGATTTCGTAAAGAACTAACGATTTTGACCTCAAGTAGCATGGACCAATTTATCATGCCCTGTCACTTTAATATATAGAAGTGAGAGAAGCTGTGCTACTAGTAAGTTAGCCATTAATATATCATCAGTGTTAAGAAATAGATGGTACTGACGGCCTCACGCACTTGACTCCACGAAGAAGAAGTAACCGACGGGTTCACTTGGCCACCCCTCAGATCTCACCTTGATGGCCCTGCTGACGTCGTTGAGCTTGACTATGAGTCCTTCATGGCCCCGTCGCAAGTCCTCCAGCATATCCGGGGTGGAGCTGTCACCTCTACCGCCCCTGCAACACCTCTACACTTTAACTGAGAACCACACACACACACACACACAGACACACACACAAGGAGAAACCACTGTTATAGAGGAGCCGTATCTTTTGAGAAATACAGATAACCTACAAATATTTATGTTGCGGAGGAGGAGGGGGAGAAAGAAAAACTCTTATAATTTTGTTCAAAGCTAAAGAGCAGTTATTAAGACTACTGGTGGTGATGGTGGGAAGGTTCTAGATAAACGTGACGACCTAAACGTTAAGGGGATGGGAGGTAGTGAGGATGTATGAAGGGGATAAGAACATATCAAAGCAGAAGAGTGGTGAGAACAGTAGTTAAGGAAAGGTATTCATCAGGATGGTAAGGTACTAAAACACTGGCACAAGTTTCTGTCTTGGGGGCCCTGTGTTGTCCTTTGTTTTTGTCAATGATCAGCCAAGGGAAGTAACATCATACATCAGGATATTTGCAGATGATACAAAATTAATGGTGGAAGTTTATGGAGCACTACTGGGGTTCCTGACTGGATAGCTGTATGTTATGGCGAACCCATTTTTAATATTCTCGTATAGTGTGATATACGTGAAGTCTTTAACAATTGTTCAGTTTATTATTATAAGTTTTTCCTGTTTTAGTTCATTTACATATATTTACATGTATTTCTTGTTTGTTATTACGAACGTTTCAGTGTGTTCTTTAAGGTAGGCTAATAAATACATATTCAGTATCTATTATTATAATTATAGATACTGAGTACTTGATAGCTGAAGATGTATTTTTATTTTGTAATTTGGTATAAATTGTTTAATTTATGGAGTAATTTGAATGAGGTTCATTATGTATAATATTAATTTGTTTTAAATCCATGCATCTATATTTGAAGACATATATTGTAATCAATGTAAGTAAAGATGTTTCTTTATCGTGTATTAAGGAAATGTTTAATGGAATTATAATTTTGTTTACAGTTTATAATACAATCCTATTCAAACATGATGAAAAGGAAATGTACTAGAAGATCTATGTAATAATGACATTGGTAAGGGAGAAAGAGGAAATACCAGCAAATCTGGGGAAGAGTATACATGGTATCAATAGAAAGGAAAAACCTGAGTGTAGCCAATATAGGGAGATATCTCTACTAACATCATTGTACAAAATCTTCGCTAAGATTATGTTGAAGAGATTAGAAACATAATCAACTATATAATTGGAGAGTAACAGATTTTGACCATTCGTCAACTTCTGGGAAAGAACCAGGAGTCCGATTTTAAGCAGAACTACGCCACCATTCACCAAGCTCCCTTAGAGAACATCATAGAGGATTTTGATATACCAAAAAGATCGATTACAATGATGAAGAAATGTTACGCCTTCAATGAAATGTGTATACAACTAGGATAAAAAGCAAATAAATAAATAAATATACATCACAAATGGCGTAAAGCAGGTTTGTCTACTGTCACCTACCTTGTTCAAGTTTGTTGGAAAAAAATCTATAGGACAATAGAATGCATAGAAGGAACAGAACTGCAAGATTGCAAGATGTAACACTGAATAGTTTCACATATGCTGGCGATGTGGATCGGATGGCTACAGGCATTCAAGGAATGCAACGGCTGCAACGCCCTTTCCAGGCATTCAAATTCACAGCTGAGAGAAAGACTCATGCTGAATGTGGAGATAACAAAAGTAATGAAAGTATCAAGAGGGGATGAACCAGTAATTCAGCTAGTGCAAAATGATGACCTTAATATTGATTTAGTGAAGGACTTTAAATATCTCAGATAAACTCTCACATCAAAAAATGAAATCACAAAGGAAATTAAAATTTAATCAAATATAGCAGCAGAAAACCGCTGCTATCATTCTTGATGAAAACCTAGTGTCTACAGTAGGTTAAGTCACAACCTAACATAACCTAATCAGCATAACTTAACCTAACCTAACCTAACCTAACCTAACCTAACCTAACCTAATGCAACCTAGCCTAACCCAACTATCCTAACTGAACCTGAGTGAAACATTAATTTGGCTATTTTATCTTTATTCTTAATTATATAATATAATAATATATATATATATATATATATATATATATATATATATATATATATATATATATATATATATATATATATATATATATATATATATATATATATATATATATATATATATATACAGGCAATATATGTATGTGTGAGTATGTGTGTGTGTGTGTGTGGTAATTGTAACCGACTTTTGTAAGATGTAAAAGAAATATATGTTTTCTATTTTTACTATACAAAATTTTTACAAATGTCTTCTTTTTCTGTGTGACGTGTTTCTTGTTTGAGTTTTCTTTGGATAATTAGTATTGTATGGCCCTCACAATGTGGGTGCATCTATACTAATGACAACCCCTCAAGAGGATAACACTCACCCTCCAGTGATGTAATACTCAGTGCCAACAAAATCGACTGGTTCAATTCTCTGGGTGAAGGCAGAGCGTGGGCCACTAGCACTTCCCAAGGCCGCACACACCAACAAGCTGAGCCACGCCCACATCCTCACACTTCTCTACGGAAGATCATCAGTCAAACGAGAAATATAGGTACTTATAAAACTACTGTGCCATTAACATTAGAATGTTACCATTACCTGTACCAAGGTACCCTTAACATTACACCGTGGCCTTTGTCCTACTAAATATAAAGTCAATAAAGATTTTTCTTACCTTCACCATTAGTACAAATTAACTCACGTTAAGGTCCAATGAACGAAATGTCATTAAAAAAAAAAACCCGTTCCTTTGGAGGTCGCAGTAGGGGATGGAGTGAGAGACTCAGAGGGTTCAAGGCGATGGAGGTTTAGGGGGCTCGGTGACTGGAGATCTGGGGGCCATGATGACTGGTGATTCAGGGTCGCAGCGACTGGTGATTCAGGGGTCATGCTGACTGGAGATTTAGGGGTCATACCTACTGGAGATTTCCTGAATAATGGTGACTGGAGATCTGGCAATAGGTGACTGGAGATTTAGGGGTTATAGTGACTGGAGATTCGGGGTTATGGCGACTGGAGATTCAAACATGGCAATGGCGATCAGGGTCAGACTGGAGATTCAAGGTGACATGGCAACTGGCGATTCAAAGGGGTCATGGTGACTGAAGATTCAGGGGGTCAGGAACTGGAGATTCTGGGGGTCATAAGAAAGAGCGAGAAGTGTATTTTGAATTTTGTCGCAAAGCAGCCAGTTTATTTTGCACCACATATTCATCCTGTGAGCGGCAGCGCAAAAATGATTACTGAGCAGCAGTAGTCCTTGGGCCAAGGTGAAAATTTGTGTCATATCTGGGGAGAAAGGGGGTCCTATTTTTTCTGAAAACCCAATGCCTATGGTTCTCAAAAATGATGGAGGTCATCTGCGAAATCCAGCTTAATACTGGATCTATATGCATGTAAATAATGACAGACCTTCTACCAAGCTTAGTAATGCCTCAATGCTATACTAAAGTTGTCATAGCAACAAATAAACTGACACATGGTGAACAGTAAAATGTCATAACTCGGCAAACAACGGGTTGTATTAATGTGGGCTACATACATTATGTTTATATAATTCCACCACCCACATAACTAGCCTATGAACAGTGAGTAGTCATAACTGTACATGTGACAGTGTTTTTACACTGTTCGCCCTGCACCTTGAATGCGTGGGTCAACGATTAAGTAGCTGACTTCTGGCAGTCTGTACCAGTCTCACCCACGTCAAAAGTGTATTCACGAAGCTCGATACACCAACGCTTCATCCTTTATTAACGCCCACAGCTCATAGCGTTTGTTGTGGTGATATCCTAGTTAACGTGCAATGATTTATTTTCTTAATAAATGGAGAAGATCATATGGGTTTGAAAACTTAACCCATAAACATTTGTATATAACACTTCTAGTTAACCTTTAATACTGACACTACAGAATCTTCACCAGTGATTACAACATTTTAACGGGAAGTAACAGGACTATTTTTGAGGATGCATTATCAAATATATTAAAAAAATACATATTAACAATTGTCTTGACTAAAACTCATCATCTGAATATTACCTTCATCAGGGACATCAAAAACGTGAAAGTTGCCACAGGCTTGCAGTGCCCTCGCCTCAATACAGGCTATGCCTGCACAGAAGCAGGAAGGCTTGATGCATTTTCTTTTTACAGTCATGCACAATCATTTCAATACATCTGCAGAGGCAGGGAGACATGTCATCCACACATAAAACAGATATGCATCAATGTTTTCAGCCCATCTATGGTTGAAAAATGAAAAAAAGGTTAGTGCTTGCTCCAACAATCTCATCTAGATTCAGGCGGCCAGGCCACAGTTAGCTCTTAGGCAGTACTGCTTCAAGAGATCCTGGCGGGTGGCAGGCAAAAACGACGGACCCGTTTTAGGAATTAACCGGAAAACTGTAATGAGGCATATTTAACGTACAACGTAACCAGAGTATTAAGTGTTGGTGTGTGAGCCAGCAGAAAGGTGTGTTACCTGACGCCTTGTACCTCCCTCTCTTGCCATCCATAGGTAGTAGGCAGCTACCAAACGGGGAGGTACTACCGCCTGGGAAGATATTGGAAGCATAAGTGTACAGGTATTGTCTAATGATAGACCCTGCTGCCTTATGGCATCACGAAAATTTTGACCAAGTCCCAGGTTGCTGAACTGACTTTCTGCCTCATTTACACACAATTGCAGGGTCTCAATTGTTTCTCTTACTATTGACAACACAACATACATACTGTATATTGTTTTTCACTCTTGACCGTTTTTTCATTTTTGTATTTCTTTATGGTTCTTTATTATTAGTATTATTATTACTAGCGGAATCGCCGTCCTCCGGGCGGCTCTTTCCTTTAAAGCCACAATGAAGACACCACCCTCCGTGAGGCTCCACATTGTCTCTGTAGTGCATTAAGGTGTCTGCTTTGAACCTGACTTTGTATTCGTCAGAAGATTCAGATGATTTGCCCCCGAGGGCTAGTTTATTGGGCACCCCTTACATCCTGTGCAAGGTGAAGCGCAGAAGCGTTTACAGCGCCCAACAGGGAAGTATGAAAAGTTCATACTTGCCTTTATGACTCGTACATTAAGGGCGTAAAAGCCTGAAGGGTCATAGGTTCTGTCAAGTTACATAAAGTGAGAGAATGATGAGTGTGTGGGGGGAAAGTTCCCGGTACATTTTATCTGTTTATGGCAAAGAGTGGCAGGTCCCTAATAATGTCAAATGCCAGGCCTGTGACTAGGAGGGGGGTATTCGTCAGAAGGCATGTTTTCCAGGGAATTTTTAAATGACTGTACATACGTGTTGCGCTCATGCAGCATTTCTTGGATAGATAGGACAATGTCATGTCTGACACCTTGAATGTTGCCACACCTGATAGTAGTCTGCTTTTCATGATCTCCCATGAAGTAGATTAGGAGGAACTTTGCCTGCTCATCTTCCAGTGGTAAGAGGATCCTGCTGTGATAGACTTGACCCTGGACTTTGAATGTGGGCATGTATCCGTGATCATGAACTACTCTAAGCTCCAAAGGATGTCATCTGGAAGCATGAATTGTACTTCCGTATATTTTCAGAAGTGTTTTAACTCTGGTGTTGTTCCCAGCATGAGAGTCTTCAATGGTTGTGGTGGTTTTTCCAAATTTGGCAGTCGTACTTTCCCATGAGAGCAGCACAGTCCAGCAGGTTCCCCTTTGTACTTCTTTGCACCGCAGTATTCACATTTCTTTTCCATGTTGCCAATGACAACAGAGGGATACTTTTCATATTCTATATATAAAATCATCCATCATCACCACTACATATAACACCACCCATCATCAGTACATATAACATCATCCATCATCACTACATATAACACCATCCATCATCACTACATATAACAATATCCATCATCACTACATATAACACCACCCATCATCACTACATATAACATCATCCATCATCACTACATATAACATCATCCATCATCACTACATATAACACCATCCATCATCACTACATATAACACCATCCATCATCACTACATATAACACCATCCATCATCACTACATATAACACCACCCATCATCACTACATATAACATCATCCATCATCACTACATATAACACCATCCATCATCACTACATATAATCATCCATCATCACTACATATAACACCATCCATCATCACTACATATAACACCATCCATCATCACTACATATAACACCATCCATCATCACTACATATAACACCATCCATCATCACTACATATAACACCATCCATCATCACATATAACACCACCATCATCACTACATATAACAATATCCATCATCACTACATGGCATCATCCATCATCAACATATAACACCATCCATCATCACTACATATAACACCATCCATCATCACTACATATAACAATATCCATCATCACTACATATAGCATCATCCATCATCACTACATATAACACCATCCATCATCACTACATAACACCATCCATCATCACTACATATAACACCATCCATCATCACTACATATAACACCACCCATCATCACTACATATAACAATATCCATCATCACTACATATAGTATCATCCATCATCATTACATATAACACCATCCTTCATCACTACATATAACACCATCCATCATCATCACTACATATAACACCATCCATCATCACTACATAATAACACCATCCATCATCACTACATATAACACCACCCATCATCACTCACATATAACAATATCCATCATCACTACATATAGCATCATCCATCATCACCACATATAACACCATCCTTCATCACAACATATAACACCATCCATCATCATCACTACATATAACACCATCCATCATCACTACATATAACACCATCCATCATCACTACATATAACACCATCCATCATCACTACATATAACACCATCCATCATCACTACATATAACATCATCCATCATCACTACATATAACACCATCCATCATCACTACCTATAACACCATCCATCATCACTACATATAACACCACCCATCAGTACTACATATAACAATATCCATCATCACTACAGATAGCATCATCCATCATCACTGCATATAACACCGTCGCTTCATCACTACATATGCTTTCATCCATCATCATCACTGCATATAACACCATCCATCATCACAACATATAAGCACCATCCATCATCACTACCTGTAACATCTTGCATCATCACTACATATAACACCATCCATGTTCTTTATATAACACAAGCTTCCATCATCACTACATGTAACATCATCCATCGCATCACTACCTATAACATCTTCCATCATCACTTCTTTACCTGTAAGCACCGTCATCATCACTGCATATAAACACCATCCATCATCATCACTACATATAGCACCATCCATCATCACAACATATAACACCATCCATCATCACTACCTGCAACATCTTCCATCATCCTCACATATAGCACCATCCATCATCACTGCATATAACACCATCCATCATCACTGCATATAACACCATCCATCATCACTGCATA